CTGGTGCACAATATCATGTTTCCGTGAGGCAGCTTCTGGAGTCTGAAAAGGAAATTCGTCTGCAAAAGCTGCTGATGCTTCCGCAGCAAGACATCAGTAGCGAAAGTGACACAGAAGTATCGCAACATAACTTCTCTGCTCACATCTCAAATGATGAAATTTCCAACCCAAAGCATAACATGGAGGTCGTTGCTTATATCGCTGGATATTGTGCTCATTCAGCTCTGAAGAAGCTGTCATGCGCATTTTGCAGCAGCCTGCTCGTCCTGGAGAGCAGGAACATAGATGTGGAAGGTAACACAATGATTGACAACTTGTCAAGAGGAAGCTTAAAGTTTCCGCAGCCATGTACTGTGCACATGGTGCTGGTGACAACGCTTGTTGTCGAAAAGCTCATCAAGGGAGAAAATGCAAAGGCGTTCCTCGCGTCGAACAACCAACGTGGCATTGTAAGCTCCATTACCACATCACTGCTAGGAGATGTTCAGCTAGAGACTTGTGAAAATGACCATACCTCTGAGACTATCGTGCGGCATGTAGTGCGTGTTGCAACAAATGTCGCTCTGAACAACTTTTGTAGACTTCGAAATGACACCATCCAAAGCACCACACAAAAAAGGCAGCTGACAGAAACATCAGAACCTTGAACAAGAAATGAGGTAGGATGGTTTTAGCCTTTCGTCCTAATAAAACCACTTCTACAAATGCATTTCTGACTATTACAGTTTGATCACTAAAGTGTAAAGGCAGGCGTAAACAAATGCAGACCACGCAGGAACAAAAAAAGAAACACCGGCTTTCAATAAGTGCCCACAGCAGATATAATGAGAACGAGTGGCGACGACGGCCGGGGTGCAGGTGGGCAACTAGCGTGACATCACGCTCTCCCTGGAGGGGCCTTGTCAATAGTCTAGGTGGTGTTGGTCGTTCTTGCTACGCCGGGACGTAAGGCGCGGTTCATGAACTTTTTGAAGAGCGTCGGCGCGGTGCCGGCTATTTCAAACTTGCCTACTGAAATAACTTTTGCGACGTTGACGCTGAGGCTTAGAACGATCCTTCTCGCTTGTTTGTTCTTGTCGAAATGGGCGTATTCAGATACAGTAAAAGCTCGTTATTTCGGATTTCACGGGACCAGAAAAACTCTCCGAATTAACCGAATGCCGAATTAATGAATGAACAGGGAAAACAACATTTAAAATCAAGCTGCAGAAGCACGCCTTTATTTGTTGAAGTATTGTGTAATTGTTGTCTGCGTTTTCGCGCAGATTTCGGCTGACATCACAATTTTTTTTAACTGTTCCAAATGGCCAACAGCACGCAAGCTGTCGGAAGTGTTCAGGCAAGCGTCCTCTAATATTAACAGCGCCTCCGAAACTTCCCGTGAGGTGCGATGAGGTCGCGGCTGTATCTCCTCGCATGATTCTTCGTCGGAATCGTGGTCTTTATGGGCGCCCGTGACATCAATATTAATCTCTTGATCGGTCAGGAGACCACTCGTGGCGACACCATGATCAATCGCGATGTAGTCCTGAAAGGTCACATCTGTGGGAAGGACAGCATCGAAAGTCGGGCAGTCATCGTCGGTGGACCCTGCCGCTTTTTCGGCGTTGCCATCACTGTAGCGCACGATGGTGGTGGCATGCAAATACGGTCACAATGGAAGAAAAAGAGAACTCCGCAAGAAGAGATGGTTCCGACACGACAACACAAAGGAAAATGGCGTCGGAAGCTCTGAGTGGAGTAGAAAGAAGGCGCCGACGTTCGGTGACGCTGCGATCGCCCCCGCTGGTTGATGATGATGGCGATAACACTCTGGTTTCGGTTTCACTTCAGTGGTGCCAGCGCTGTTTATCCCACTGTGTAGCAACAGCCGTCAGCATTTGTCCGAATTAAGCGGTGCGGAGCCGAATTCTGACGAAATAACGAAGGTTTGGTCCCATAGACTAACATGCACTTTGGCCGGAGCCAATAGACTCGTCCGAATCATCCGAATTAACGGGTGTCGAATTAACGAGCTTTTACTGTACAATCTTCAGACCCACGCTATTTTTTCGTTTTATTTTCAGTCACTCCAAGTTCAGATTGGTTTAATTCCCATACAGTCCCATTTTTGATGATCATGGTAAAACGATGGTTTCAGCCCAATTTATCCCCTTTCAAGGGAGTTCGTATTTCAAAATGGGTGGAAAAAGTGCACATAACATGCAACGCCCTTATGGGCTTATTTTTGTTTACAGTGTAGAGCGCGCGGTAAGAGAAGAGGCATTTTGTTATGGTTAGCATTCTGTTTAAAAAAATTGCATTTTTAATTACGCACGAACAATTCACGATTTGAAATAAAAAACGGCACTGTTTATAAAGCATTTAAAACAGGTTTTGTTAGTTTGCAGTCATAATACCTGTAAATAATGACACCATATACCACGGCGATGTTCTTTCGAGTGCACTTCCTCACTGACAGCTATCCACATTGAACAATTCAGTGCTCGTCATGTGGCTCCGCTAGAGTGTACTAGAACTTTTGAGTGGCGCGAACGAAACGCTTTCCCCTTGCTTTCTCCATCCCCAACTTGTGGCGAAAGTAGCGGCGGCGATGGCATCGCCCAATCTACCACAGAACTAGAGTGTACTAGAACTTTTAGTACACTCTAACAGAACACTGGTAGGTGTTCTGTGGTTTACTCGGCTGGCTCAGCGGCATGGCAGGCATCTCGGTTTTAGTCGCGAAATGACGAAGAAGTAGCGTCTAAACAATTGTTACGCGCCAGGTTGCACAACTGGATATCCGCGTGTGCAACAAAGTCGGAAGTATCACTTTTTAAGGCCCCGAAAGACGAAGAACGACGACTTCTTTGGGAGCGGAACCTCCATCGACTTGACAAGCCGCTTGACGCCGATTGCGCTGTGTGCGAGTTATATTTCAAACAGCATTTCATTGTGGGATACTACGTACATGTTATCAATGGTGTTCAAGTCCGAATTCCTAGGGGAGCGCCGACACTCGCCCCTGATGCAGTCCCAACGATCTTGCCCAACCTGCCTGCATATTTGACGCTCAAAACTCCGGCTCCGCGGACCCAAACAAAGCGGCGTCATCAGTGTGTGCCGGCTGAGAATGACAACAGAAAACAGTGACGCATTAGCACTCCTGCACAGCTTTTTGTGGATACCAACAGTGCAACTTCTGCAGATGGCGACGAAGCTGACGAGGCAAGCTCAAATCCTTCGTCTGGCGCGATTGTCACTCTCGGTGACCTTCGTGGTCTTGTCCTACCATCAAAGTCATGGGCGCTGCACGAGTTTCCTGGATTTGCTGGCGTGTCATACGTAGCGTGCTCACTGAAGCCTAGCACTCGTGAACTTTGCATTCAACGAGCCGTATACTTCACCTGTGCAGACAATGGAATCATGCAATGTGAAGCGTTCGTGCAAGAGAAACTAATCAGCAAGTCCAGTTTAGTAACTGTTCGAGAAGCCTCAGATGCTCTGCAGCTTGTTGCAAGCGTCCCACTCTGCTGTAGAGCAGCAGAAACTTCATTTTTGCCACCATCGGACCTCACCCACGGTCTACACGCGCAAATGAAGTCAAGATGAAAAATCTTCTACTGTGTCAAAAGCGCACAGAAGCACCTAAAATTGAGTAGGCTATAAATTGCTACAGTGGCGTAAAAACGATGTCATTTTTCGTGCATACTTTTTACACTCTTAATTTTTTGACGGTACACCAAGAAGAAAAACAATTTTTCCTAGAAGATGCTTGTAAGCGAGAGAACGTGCAATTAATGACGCGAAATTTCAAAATAAATCTTTGATCTTGAATCTTTTTGTATTAAACCTGTGATGGTAAATTTAGCAGCATTAGGTATCTCGGTGCATATTTCATCGATCCAAGCCAATTCATTGTTGCACTTCAGTGTCCCTTCAAACGATCTTTCGACCATAACATCTTTTTTTAAACGCATTTTGGAAAGACAACCTCAACTCTGTCATTCTGTTTGCTTTGCTTTATGTTATCTTTTGTATCCTGGCTTTATATATTACGTTTTTTACAATTTACCTAATTACAAATGTATTGTTTTATAAATATGTAAACCTTGCATTTTTATGTTATCAATTATGATTAACATTAGTTACGACTCTGCTTTGCAGTGTTGCGTTTTTTAAACTCTCAAAATCTTCCACTACTATGTTTCACCTAAGACATTTTTTTGCAGTATTACGTATTTGCATTTCTGTGGGTCCTACAACAATGAATCTATTCCCATAATTTAAAACCAAAGGGATGTTTGGAAAAACTCTGCTGTTCTTCAAATATTATCAATAAAGCCTACTTTTTTTGTCGTGTGTGCACGCAGCCACAAGCAATGAGCCTTTTATTTGAGTCCAGCTTTGGTGTTTTACGTGGAATGGACCAAGAGTTCTTCGTTTTGTGTGCACCATATTCCTTTTTTTTTGGGGGGGGGGGGGGGGCGCTTCCGGTGTGTACCGGCCAGCTGGTTTCTCGTCTAAAATGTGTACACTTTAAAAATTAAAAAAAAACGCACTCGTTATATTGTACAATGTGCTATGCTGCTTCGGGCTGCAGTGCGGGCCTCAGCAACTTCAATAACAATAATGTCAAATGACCTTTATTTGCGCGAAAAAGGGGAGGTATGTGAATAAGAAAAAAAAGAGGGAGATCATCTTCACACTAGGCGCGACAGAGAGGTACCAACACGTACGCAGAACGCCTGCCAGCCATCCGCCCAGGAAGATTGGTCGACGCCAGCGCCACCGCATCATGCCACGCCGAAACGGCCCCTCCCAGGCAGCTGCTCACGCCACTCAAAAGCTTCTAGTACACACTAGCTCCGCAGTGCGAACATAATATGACGTCATATGAAGCGACCGAGATAGCGCGTGGCGACGCGCGAGACGGTACACGTACCCCAGCGATCGTGATTAAAAGAGCGCAGCCACCGCCGGCCGCCATTTTGACGTTCGTCAATCGGAGGAGCTGGTGACGAAGACGACAAAGATGGAACCGTCAGCTAAACAGCAGCAAGCGGCACAGGCCAAGGGCGGCAAGACTGCGGTTTTACGAGCTGCTTCGACAGCGAGTGCCATCGACGGTGCCAAGAAGCGCCGTCGCCGCGAGAGCTACAGCCGTTACATCTGCAAGGTACTCAAGCAAGTTCACCCCGACACTCGAATATCGGCCAAAGCAATGGACATGATGAACAGCTTCGTAGCCGACATCTTGGACCGCATCGGCGAAGAGGCAGCCAAGCTTTCCATCTGTTCTCACCGCAGCATCATCACTGCGCGTGAGATCCAGACCGTGACGCGGCTGCTGCTGCCCAGTGAGCTGGCCCGCCATGCTGTCTCTGAGGGAACCATAGCAGTCAGCAGGTACACGTCCTCGCAGCCGGGTTTACCACTAACTACCGGCGCCGCAGCAGCAGGCCACCCTGCTGTACGTGTCGCACCTTCCAGGCAAACTGCCGACGCGGAGTGTGCTCGTTGTGGACGACACTCGGTGAACTTTTTTTTTGTGGAAAGTGTTTTTTTTGTTCTTTGGCAACATTTATCTAGGTAATAAATGAATGCAGGCAGTGAGCTGTTAGTTTTTTTAAAGGAGTGTTATATCGATGCGGTTATGGGTGGTGTGAAAAAAAATTTAAATAGCAAAGAATCCAAAAGCATCCAGAAGAAACGTCACCTGATGCTCGGGGTACCTTAAGTAAAGCGAGCTTTTGTTTAAGTTTTCACCACTTAGATCATGTCCAGCGTTACCCGTGATGCAACGCTTGTTTGTTGACGTATTACCATAGCACAGGCGGATAGTTGAAAGAAAATAAAAAAGTGCGTGACAGGACGTGCACGGACACACAGATCCGAGAACAAACCAAAATAACAAAGTGACACAGTAAAAACTTTCTACCACCAGTGCTGGTAGAAACATCCTGAGAGCTTGGAGTTTGCCCGAGAGAGATCGATACAGTTACTGCAGCATTCTTCGAGAACAGAGAGAGCGTATTACCGTGGCGCTCATACCTCGGAATGTGCCCCCTGAATACAATGTAGGCAGATGACAGGCTAGGGCTAAAGCCCTCCTGAAGAGTGCCCACGCACATGCCCGGAGTTCCTGCTTCGTTGACGCTGCACGGTACCTAAGCCGAAAAGCATTCGTTGCAGTCACTGCTGATCATGATGGCATTGTTACGGTATCCTCATCGGCCTGGACCACAACAGCCGAGGTTGCCGAACAGGTTGCAATAGCCTTGGCCCGCTAGACGATGCGAGAACAACAATATACAGTGACTCGAGATCAGCAGTCCAGGCATTCGGTTGGGGCACCATCTCGGAATCCGCCTTTTGGATCCTGTGAAATAAGAAGGTACAACAACACACAATCATGTGGTTGATATGATATGTGGGCTTTAACGTTTCAAAGCCACCATATGATTTTGGGAGACGACGTAGTGGAGGGCTCCGGAAATTTTGACCACCTGGGGTTCTTTAACGTGCACCAAAATCTGAGCACACGGGCCTACCACATTTCTACCTCCATCGGAAATGCAGCCGCCACAGCCAGGATTTGAACCCTCGACCCGCGAGTCAGCAGTCAAGTACCTTAGTCGATAGACCACCGCGTCGGGGCACAATCATCTGGTTGCCAGCACACACCGGACAGATCGAGGGCGCTCCATCCAACCCAACGAGAAGGCCCACAAAGCTGCGTCAGGGGTCATCGACAACGTAGCAACTGAACGGCGTGACGATGAGGTTCTTGACAACAAAGATCCTCCAACGAGGTACATTAAACTTTGCAAGAACTTGTCTCTGCAGAGGCGGCGAAAATATTCGCCACCGCCTAGTAAACTGAACATGCCTCAGGCGTTGCACAACATTTACCCTGCAATCACGACGTCAAACACTTGCGCACACTTCTAAGACTTTGCCAGCTTAGATCATATGCTCTGGCGGTGCCCTGCATTATAAGCTGAAAACGTTACAGCGTCAAAGTGGGATGCTGCACTACGCAGTACGGATTTAAGGACGCTGCTATGGGCAGTCCAACGGGCCCACGACGTGGCGGACAGGTTAGACCTATCTGTCCAACGCAGGAGCGGCCTCATACGTGCTAGTTCACACCCCGAAGAACCTTAAAAAAGTTTTTCAATACCAAATTTTACAGTGGAAACCTCCATCGCTCATTCGATCATAGTTTCACCGACGCTCTCAGTCAGTTTGATGGTTCATCAATGGCCTGTTGCCTACTGATTTTGTTCAGAACTGGGCATGCCTTCTTCCGTTGGCGTGTGCTTAGTAGACCGCAAAGCCTCCCCTCTAAGGGGTATAGATTTATACGAGCTAGGGACCAATCCGGTTCTTGCATGAAGTTGCGGGTGTGGGACCTCTGCCTCTGCGTGCCGTGGGACACACACTTGAAGTTCCGACACCCGCGCTTTTTGCAGAAATTCATTCACGCCGGGGTACACTCCCTTTTTGCCGGACACGCTCACGGAGAAGGCAGGAAAGAATCTCGAAGAGAAAGAACGAAGGGTTATACCCCTATCACACAGGCACCCGCGAACACCATTAAAGTATCTCGTCCTTACGACAAGGCAGACGCGGTCCATGTCACACGGCCACCCTTACGCAAATGCAGGTAAACAGAGCATGTCGCAAAGATCGTTCGACGATCTCCCTTTGCAACGGGACGAGTTACTCTCGTCCCCAGTATCTGCAGGTCAGAAAACAATTTCGAGCTCTTAATGGCCGCAATAAGAACATAATACATTTTGGCAATATTAAAAGTTCTCTTGTTGCAGTACTCATTCATAACGTGTTTTTTTACACATTTATATATGCGCCAAACTTTAGTGCAGCCACACCGACGCCCTTCACACCATGCTTCGTGAGCCGGGCCAAGTTCCGTCATTTGAAAAGATTTCGCCCGCGCGTGCGGTTGTTTCCATCACCGTGTTTGCATTTGCCCATGAGAGGAATGACTGACAGCGCTGCATCATCATCATCTGCTTTGACAGCTGCAGGTTTAGGTAATGAAACCAGACCTAATTCAAGGGTAAATTAAAGGCTACAAAAACAACTAGTCGTCGTGCACGGCGCAATTTTAAACAAACATAGCATTAGGCACAAGGTGGTGAAGCTCACTGCCAGCATAGCAGCTTTTAGCAAATGCGTTTTCATTTGAAATAATTTTAATGCTTTGTTCGCTTCGACCATACTTAATATTATGTTTTTGTAAAAACCACATAACGAAGATTAACACACACAAAACAGCAACTAGAAATGAAATTAGGATACTCTGCGAAAATGAAACAGCACCGGCTGAGCCCCCTCGCGGCTACTATTACAGCCTTGTCATATCTGTGTCACACTGTCACAACTCCATCTCCGTAGAACTCCCTAGGGGAGATTTACGTTGACGAAATATAACAGAGTTCGATGGTGGCCGTGTGACAGGGGTATTAGCCTGCAACTCGTTCGCCGGACACAACACATGCTGAAAAACGTGCAACGCCACGCTGGAAAACCAAGCGCGAGAATTTTTAAGAGGCGTATACACTGGCTCATCTACTGCCGATAGATATCGGGGCGCCTGCGGTGAAGTCGACTGGTAACCGCCGTCGCCTCAACCAAGAACGGCATTTCGCTGCTGCAGTGCTAGGGGCTCGCGCCACCTGATCGGCATACTTGCCATGCCGTTTCCGCTCCTCGTGTTCGCAGCACACACGGGTGCACTCACATATCCGAGGATAAGAAAAGTGAGCGTACCGGAAATCAAGTTCGCCACTCGTCACGTGGCGGTGTACGTACATGAGGCTGCTTGGTGTATTCTCCTACATCTTGAGTTGCAGGCGATGACCAGCTTCTACACGATATAATGACGATGGTCTAGATGAGCGGGTGCATGCCCCGCCGCGGTGCGCAAGTGGCTAAGGTACTCGGATGCTTACCCGCAGGTTGCGGGATTGAATGCCCGCTGCAGCGGCTGCGTTTTCGATAGAGGCGAAAATGCTGTAGACCTGTGCGCTCAGATTTGGGTTGTTGCGAAGCGCCCCTCCGACGATGTTACGAAGGGCGCCCCGAATCTCACCGCTGCCACCACTGTTACGAAAGACGACGACGCCAACACGGTCCCGAAGGCGCCACTGCTTCGAACTCCGCCGGGAAGGTCACCAGCCGTTTGGTAGCGTAGGTTTCTCAGCTCGCGACTGCTTCTGCGCAGAGCTGATAGACGAGCGGACGAGACGACTGTGAGCTAAACAAGGTTTAGGTACAGCATATATACAGAGGCGTTACAAATTCGGCACTGGGGCCAACAGCTTAGAGACCCGAAGAGCCGAGCTCTCCTCTCTAACACAGAGGTCTGCTTTCAAATGGGTCTGCTAACACATAGGACTGCTGCGACACACCCATGGCTCAACTCTCTATCACAGAGCTCTCTTCGCTGACACACAGCTCAACTCTCTATCACATAGCTCTCTTCTCTGACACACATGTCTGCTAACACATAGCTCTCTGCTCACATAGCTCAACTGCGACACACATGTCTGCTGCTCGCGACGCGCTGCAGGGCTTCTTTTATATGCATCGGATGGATTCTTTGAGAAACCAAATGTCCAACCAGAAGCGCCGCTGGTCGTGAGGTCAGAATCCTCCAATGGGGTCGCCACTGGGCCGCGTCATTTTTTCTCATCGAATCTAGAGAGGCTGCGCTGCAGGTGGCTGCACCCAAGGACGAGTGACGTCGCCAGGCATTGCATCAGACCTGCCAGACAGGAAAGCGCCGGTTGCTCGCTCGACGGCCTCGCTGGCTTAGGTGACTCACTGCACGTGCGCAGCAGAAAGGCGCCGCCGCGTGTTGACGCCGTTGAGTTGTTCGCGTCAGGCGGGCTCGCGGGCTGGCCTTGACACAGATTTCCTTTTTCCGAGGCATGGACGTTCGCTGCGGACTCGCAGGCATAACAGCTCCCCCGCCGCCAGACAATGCGCCAGAAAGACGAGCTCCTTCCACGGGGCTCGGACGTCAGGTGCGCTCGTTCGCCAGGTCTCTCCAGGTTCGCCTCCAGGGCCATGGAGAGAATGCAGCTCCAGACTCTGTTCCAGGAAAACGTCCCATTCTCGAGGACGGATCCCAGCTCCACTGGCTTGTCGCCACAACTTGTCGACCCGCTTCGCTCGTCTCTGACGATCCTTGGTTTCAGCACTTGTCGATGGTTCTGCAACTTGTCAAGAACGGATCGACAACAGACAACACACGACACAAGCAAGTGCCCTCGGTCACCCGGCGGAACACCAGACAAAGTATAGTACAACATATACCTAGCTACGTGTCTATCGGAATTTCGTTCCTTCTACATCAAGAGGCACATGTGGGACACAAGACTCTTAAAATGAC